GAAGTGGCCCTTCCTCTCTCACTCTCACAGTACTAGGAATTGAACTCAGGGCTGTGAACGGGCTAGGCAAGCGCTCTACCTGTGAACTATATGTCCACCCCATGAAACAGGGACTCACAGTGTAATAAAGGCCGACCACAAACTCTCAACCCTCTTGCTCTGTGTGCTGGGTGGAATTATAGGTGGACTACACGCACCCTATAGTTACTATTCTGTTAGAGCGGAATTTTCCTAAGCACAAACTTAAATATACACTGTATTCACCAACTTCTATTAATTACCAATAGTGTGAATATTCTAGTTTTCTGACCTAAGACATTTCCTACACTGGTAAGTACAGGGCAACCATTCACACAATGAGCACAAACACACTACTCCTGAGCTTACCACAAGCTCCCTGGAACCTAGTGTCAAGACGTGTGTCTATGACTGACCACGAAGTCGAGGAGGCACTGAAAACAGGTCTGTCTACCAAGTTGCCCACCCTCTTAGGAAAGGAAGGCCTGTGTTTCCAGTAGCCACATGAGAAAAGCATAAAGAAACAGACAAGACAGTTTTTGTTTTCTTGAGATAGGGTCTTAGCTGGCCTGGAGCTCCCAATGTAGACCAGGCTGGCCTCGAATCTGCCTCTGCCTCCAGAGTGCTAGGATTAAAGGAGGGTGCCACCATACCTAGCCAGACAATATGTTTTACTAATAGCTTATTTTACTCCAATAATATTATTTTAGCAGGTAATTAAGACAAATAAAATAATGGGGTGTTTTGGGTTTTTTTGGAGACACAATCTCATCATGTAGCACTGGCTGACACATGACTTGCTATGTACAGCAGACTAGTCTTGAATTTGTGGAAATTTTCCTGCCCCGTCTTTTTATTTTACTTTATTTTTCCCCTCACATAACATATCCTGGTTACACTTTCCCCTCCCTCTACTCCTTCCAGTTCCTCTCCACCTCCCATGCCATCTGGATCCACTCCCTTTCTGTCTCTTATTAGAAAACCAACAGATTTCTAAGGGATGATAATAACAAAATATAATAAAGTAAAACAAAAACTGACGCACTGAAATTGAACAAGCAAACAGAAGGAACAGAGCCAAAGAGAAGGCACAAGAAACAGATCCACTTGTTCACACACTCAGGAATCCCATACAAGCACTAAACTGGAGCCATAGAGTGTACTCAAAGGACCTGGTGAGACCTGTGCAGGCCCTGTGCACGCTGCTTTGGTCTCCGGGAGTTCCTGTGTGCTTTGACCATGCTGACTTGGAGGGCCTTGTTTTCTTGGTGTCCTCTGGCTCTTAAACTCTATTCCTCCTCTTCTGAAGGGCTCCCTGAGCCCTGAGGGGAGGGAGTTGATGGAGAAATCCCACTTAGGGCTTGCCTCAGTCTTCTAAGGGCTGGGGTTACAGGCGTCCACCACACACCCTACTAAAACTGAAAGTTTACTGAGCTGTTTACATTTATTTCTGTCTTCCTCGAATGCACTTGTACTCCAGGTCCACAGCTGATATGCTTCAGGCATGCACTACACAGGACAAGTGTGAACAGGACAGCTCCTTGTACCTTCCCTTCCCCCACACTGTCCCATGTAGCACCCCCCACTCCTTGATTTCCCAGCCACAGGACATACAGCATCAGAGTCCAGCTCCAGAGGGAGTTGAAACATATCAGGGTCAAGAATTACAGAAACAGCCACAGGCAGAGGAAGGACAGGGGCCCTTGGGGTTGCAGGCAACTGGTCCTCACTCACATCTTTCCTTCCACCATGCCTACTGCTTGTCACTAGGTAACTGAGCTGGCAAAGTCTACCACCCAGAAAGGAATGCCTATCCTGAAAGTAATTCAAAATACATCAGACCTATCCTGCAATATGACTTGATGGTTTCAAGTGACAGCAGAATTGCAATAAACTATTTCTAAAACTCTTACCCTTTACAAGTCAAACAAATGAGAGATATAAGGGACTTTACAATAAACTACTTAAACTATCAGAGGCTTGTGTGTGCCAGGAATTCTGCACCTGCTGGCATCTTCTACACAAGTACAAACACCTTTACCAAAGGATGGCTTCATGAGAAATACCACTATGCAAAGCTGGCGGCCTAGCCTGTGAACCCAAAGTGTTGGCCACATCACACTGGTGCATAGACAAGCTCCCTTCTAGGTGGACACTTAGTGGCTTATCCCGGAAAGAGAGACAGGACAGTGGCAATGGGGCCACTGCACAGACCTACAGGCAGAGGGTCAGTCAAGGACTCATGAGAAAAGGCACTACATTAGAGGCGGCTTGGAAGGACGGCCAAGGAAAGAGGTGCCAGATGCTGGAGCAGAGGAAACGCTGGTAGGCAGAAGCCTGGGAGAGGTGTGGGTAATAATTACCGCCCTGGGACTTGCTAGTCCTGCTGCTGTCACTGCCTGAGAAGGCTCCACAGTGTCCCGATGCTGCTGCCACCCGGAAGGCACGGTAAGGGCCTGTTGCTACCGTTTCCCCATAGTGGCCTCCAAAGCCACAGACTCCTGTGGGACCCGGAGTAGAGAGAAACAGAAAAATCATGAAAGATGGGGTTCAGAGGGACCTCCCACAAACAAAAGTAGGCAGAACAGTCCATATCTCTTTCCACTTCTGAGACAGGGTCTCCCAAGGCCTTCTTGCTATCTTAATATCCTACTCCATCATAGCCAGGGTCCAGAACTAGAGGCCAGCCTCCGTCTGACACAGATAGGTTTCTGTCCCGCACACAGGAAAGATAACTGAAATCAAAGTGACTCCCTTTTTCTTTCTCACATTTCCTTCAGGATCCTACTCTCTCATCCCTACTTGGAAGAAGTACTGCCATAATACCACATGCTAAAGTCCACATGGTGAAGGACCACACACTCTTCTCCCTAATCAACAGATTTCCAAAATAGGACTCACCTGCAAAGCCCCTGCCCCTGCCCTGTGAGGGTGGGACTGGCCCAAAGTGCCGAGGATACACAGATGCTGGATAGAAGGGCAGAGCAGGGGGTGGTGGGAAGGGGAGGGGGTGGTTCTGCCGGGAGAAGTTGAGCCCCTCTAAGATGCTCTGGCGCATCTTTTCCACCTTGGCAGCCTGCTCAGCCTGGAAGTCAAGGCACAGGCAGGTAAAAACATCATCCACATTTTAACACATCTGAACAGTCACCAACAAAACAGAACCACGACTGTACAAAGTCTGTATCTGCACGTCCTAATTATTTTCCGTTTTTAATATTAATTTTATTTGTAACAATCTCTCGCTGTGAGGGTATGTGCATACGTGTGAGTGCCTGCCAAGTGGTCAGAGCACCCTGATGCTAGTGGTTGTGAGCTGCCTCATGAGGGTGCTGGGAACTGAACTTGAGTCCTCCACAAGAACAATACATGCTCTTACCTGCTGAGCTGTCTCTCAAGCCCCTCACCTACTCCCGATGCTTATTCGTGACACCTTAATCAATAGTCACGGGAACCTAGCCCTACACTTTCAGCTGCAACGGTTCACACTCACTAACTCAATGTGCAAGGAGCTTTCTGAGACAGGATTTCTCTGTGTAGCTTTGGAGCCTGTCCTGGAACTCGATGTGTAGACCAGGCTGGCCTTGAACTCACAGAGATCCTCCTGCCTCTGCCTCCCAAGTGCTGGGATTAAAGGCATGTGCCACCACAGCCAGTCAAGACCTAACTTTCTTAAGTACTAAGAATCAATGATTTATTGGGAATGATCCATCGGGGACACTCAGTTTAAAAGATGGCAGGTGTACTGAATAGTTTTAGGTCAACACGACACTAGCTAAAGTCATCTTAGAGGAGGAAGCCTCAATTAAGCAAACGCCTCCATAAGATCAGGTTGCAGACAAGCCTGTAAGGCTTTTTCTTAATTAGCAACTGATGGGAGAGGGCCAGGTCTACTCTGGGTGGTCCATCCCTGGGCTGGATGGTCCTGGGTTATATAAGAAAGCACTCTGAGCAAGCCACAGGGAGTCAGTCAGTAAGCAGCATCCCTTCAGGTTCCAACCCTGTTTGAGTTCCTGTCCTGACGTCCTCCAGTGACATGAAAGTGGAAGACTAACAAACCTTTCACCCAAGTCGCTTTGGTCATGGTGTTTCATTACAGCAACAGTAACTCTGACTAAGATAGTAGATTTAGCTTATACACCGCATTCCACTATGGTTCAAGATGGCCACCCTGTTCCCAACATACCTGACCATCACAGAGGTCGATGAGTGGGGTCTTTTCCCGGCTGGCTTTGAGAAGTTTGGACTGGAAGAGCTTCCCATCAAAATACATCCAAGGACAACAGTGTTCCCAGGGGATGGGCTGTCCACATGCATCATTGGCAAACAGTGCCATGTCTACTCCGCTCATGAAGAGAGCTGACAGCTGAATTCCTCGGGGGTCTAGGTTTTCAATCTTTAAATTGAAAGAGTAATTTATATGGAGTAAGAGTACTACAGTATTGTACTTTCCCACTAAAACTCCCCAAAGTTAACAGAGCACAATCCTCCACAAGAGTACCACCTTGGCTTCACCCAGACCCTGTCTACTCAAAGAAAACAACAGTTTTTGTTACTAGAATAGTTAGGAGCATGTTTTATGAATATACTGATAGTCTTGACATATGTAAATTATCCAGTTTGGATAATATGACACTAAGACTACACGTTACAAAGGGACTGATGAAGGTCAGTCTCCTTCATGGCTCAAAGCCCTACAATTCCTTTGGGAAAGCCTAGATCTGAACACCAGCCATGGTCTAACAGAACGGTGTCCAAAAGAATGTTTTAAGATCCTGCATTTTTCAAGTAGCTGTATTAAGAAATTACTTAGCATAATTTCATTTTGAAATAAGTTTGCACTATATGCTTGTTGTTTTATGTGTTGTTTCAAAGAAGCTTAAACTGTCAACATGTTTTAGCTTATTAAACAAAATGATGGAAAAAGAGAAACATTGTACTTGAACTGAGCTTTACTGGCATTCCCAAAATTTGTGTCTTCCTAGGCTGACCACTGGTACCTGCCTTGCCAGAACTCTCCTCTCATAGACAACGTGCAGGGTAAGACACCTGACACAGTCCAATCAACTCTTGGTCATTTGTGTGCAAAGGGCCTAGTTTGTGGATTATCTAGGACAAAGGGTTAATTCTGCTCCGGTTTCTTTCTTCTCACCTCAGTGGTTTTTCAAGAGTAAAGTCTTTGGGGGGTATGAGTCTAGGTAAGGCCACACTGTGGCAGGGAAAATGATTTCTGGGAAATGGCATTGTATGAAATTCAAAAAAGAACATTTCAGTGCCAAGTGCTAATGAACTTACGATTTGCTATTTATTTCCCACTGTTTGTAACAATATTTTCCATCACCAGCTAACATCCTTGCCAATCATTTCTAAAGATTTTTTTTTAATTTCTAAAGTTTTTAAGTCAATTCTATCAAACTTGTGAGGCACAGAGGAGTCAGGTCATGAATTTACAAATCCTATTATCTATCTACAGCTCTAGATCCTAGTGTGTCAGTAGTCACAGACTTGTGAGAAGCATAAGGGACTGGGGTGATGGGATTAAGTGCATTTTCATACTTATGTGCAATAAAGAGAAAGAGAGGGTCATTCTGAAACAAATGGATGTATATTTTATTGACAGCCCGCCTGCGAGCTGTAGAAAGGAAGGAGAATCCTCACCACGGAAAGTGAGCTGGCCTGCTGGAGAGCAGCCAAGCAAGAGTGGGCTGTAAACAAGCAGAGCCACCCCCGGCACACAGACCCTATGCCCCCACATAGGGATAGTGGCTATGAATCCCTCATGTGGACCACTGCTTCCAGCCCATGTCCTGTGCCCTACACGAGAGAATGGAAAAATCAGGATCAAGCTCAGGGAGAGATATGGTGGTACTCTAAAAGATCTATTGCTATGAAAATGTCCTCATGACTGCGGCAACCTGCAGGCAACTCTTGAGATTATGGGTTACTACTGGTCATGCCCAGATACAAAGTCCCACTGCTTAAAATCATGGCCATATCACAGTAAGTGGAGTTTAACAGAACATAGCAGAGGTATACAACATAGAATCACCCTTGTTTGAATTATTTATTTCTGAATTTATTGAGAAGAATGGAGCAAGACCTTGAGTGCGTTCATTCATGTATGAGTTACACAGCCACTGAGGGACTGCAACTGTGGATTTAAAAAACGATGTTAGGTTTGAGGACATAGCTCAATAGCAAAGAACTTGCTTAGCATGCATGTAGCCCTGAGTGCAATCCTCAGCAATGAAGATAAAAAGTATAATTTCAAGATAATTATCAGTTTTAGTAATGACAACTACTGTTAATTTAACAGGCAAAAGTTACTAAAATAAAAGCTAAATAATGTGTGAATAAGATTTCCATTACTGTGTATACTTGACTTCTATCAAAAAAAGTTTAATGTTTTAGAGATACCAGCTTAACAAATATCCCAGATGGCCTCAAACTCTTGCTCTCCTGTCTCTGGTTCCTAAGCATGTACCACAATGCCTGCCCAAAAGCTTCCTAAAATTGACACTGCAGTGTTTTTTTTCCCCTTAAATTGTAAAAAGTTATTTAAGTGTATGTATACTACATGAGTGTCCAGTGTCCATCCAGAAGCTAGAAGAGGGCATTAGGTCCCTAGGAACTGGAGTTACAGACAAGTATAAATTGCCATGTGGGTATTCAAAATTAAACCCAGGTCCTGTGAAAGAGCAGCAGCAAGCGCTCTTAACTGCTAAGTCATCTCTCCAGTCCCCTTAAATGCTATTTTGAACGTTGAATATATAGGTAAATATACTTATTGTCTAATATTCAATATTATCCAAAGTTCCTCAACTAGAGAAAAATTCTGACTTCACAAGAAATTTTTACTGGGCAGAATTTATTCTCTGCCCAATTAGTTCAAGAACCAATTCTCTCTGAGGTGACTTTGTTTGACTTCTACTTACGGGGCCACAGACTCTTACTTTATGACATATTTACCTATATGCAAAACAATTCTTACAGGTATCACAGACATGTTGCACGCCCCTAATACTGTCTTTAAAGCTCTTCATTTTCCATCTTTTATATTCTGCACTTGGCATGTGAAACTGTTAAAAGAATTATAGGGATGTCAAGAACAATGGAGAAGAAACTGAACAAATATCACAATGGTAAAAGTTCCTTCTCCTCGTCCTTCACCCACCCACTTTGAATCCCAGGCTCAGGGCTAATTTTACCTTAACAATTACACTCATGCTGAAAACCTAGGAGAATGGCTCAGAAAATATAGCAGGGAACAAAATGAGGGTCATCAGTCACTGTCACAGGTACTCAGGGAACCACACAGAACATGCTCAATTATTCATGGACATGGTGGACAGAGAAAGCATGGATGAGATGAATTCTTAAAAACTCATTTTAGCTAATGGTGCAGTGTCTTTTCCCACTAGCCCTCCCTTTAGAAAAGCTAGTAGAAGAGTCCAAACCAGCAGAAAAGTAGGACCTGCCTTCTTCTTTCCCTCTTCTGATGGTAAAGCGTGTGTTGGACACTGGCAGGGGGAAGAGTGACAGGTCTAGGCAATTCACAAACGGGGTGATAGCCCCAGCACAGCAACGGCGACAGTCAAGAAGTGACTGTCTTAAACAGTGAAGAGGCATCTTACAGAAAAGCACTGTCGTTGCTTTTGACATTTCAAAAACTTTAATGATTAAATGCAAAAGCAATTTTAAAATTTAGTTTTCTACCACTGAATCCTGAAACCCTAAACTCTACATAGGAATTTTGGGTACCCTGAAATAAGAATATTCCTATCAATTCTCAATTCAATAGCTGAGATGATGCTTATCTTAAAACAAAAAAACAAACAAACTGCCTTCCTCTCAATCACGCTGTTTTTCCTCACAGCCCTTTCGAAATGTACACTAATCTTAACAATGAATAGTGTGGGCTGTGCTTGTCAAACAGGACCGCCAACATCCACCCAAGAAGACCCAGCTGCAACGAGTCAGACAGAAGGCCACTGTTAGTGGAGTGTATCTCACTGATACATCCTTAGAAATCTCTCGACTTAGATGAAGAATCAGGAGAAAACCATGAAAGCACTTAAGGCCTCAAAAGAACCAAAATGAAAGCTTTCAAAAGGTACATCCTGCATGTGGATCCGAAAATGAAAAGGATATGGGAGAGAAGATGGACTTGGGTTAAAGCAACTTGATGGTGAATAAGGCTTGGTGGGCATACCTGGTCCCTGGCGGTCTGATTTTCAGAACTGGGATGTCAATACTGAAGGAATAATCTACACAAGAGAAACAGGAGGAGAGGTAGAGGGTGGCACCACACTCTAGGGCAGTGACTCCACCCCCTGAAGCACAGCCTGCGGCGAGGACGGTGGTGATGGGGCACCAGGGAACACTCGGGAGGACCTGACTGGGTCCGCCACACTGCCTGACACCGAAAACAAAAGTGTTAAAGACAGTAACAATTTCTGCCTAACAAACAGAAAAGCTTGATCCACAAAGTAAAGAACACAATTTGAGGGGGGATTCTGCTGAGTTTTGGTTTTGTACTTAGCTTGCTTCAAAAGTCATCAGAAGCCTCAACGGAGTTCCAGTTAGCACCAAAATATGCAATGTAACATAATAATTTAGGGAAAAACCAGAAATTTATTGAGAACCACCTGTCAAATACTAAAAAAAAGTTTTAAAAATTAAAAGCTAGTCTAAAACCTTTGTCATAAGATAACGTTCATAAAGAACAGTCAAAAGATCTAAAAGCCAAGGCAATTTTATCAAAAGAGATTAGCTGATTTTAAATCAAACTTGGTAAAAATTAAATAACTGATGACAAAGAAAAATAAAACCCTAACTATAAAAAGAAAAGGCAGAGCTGTGAGTTTAGCTAAACTCGAGGTCTTGAACTTTCTAACATTTAATACAGAAATAGGAAAGCAATTATAATCATGAGCATAGCAACTAATGAGTGTAGTGAAAAAGATGACACTACAAAACCAGGGCCAACTCAGGAGAAAATAAACACTGCCAACACAAAGAACAAAGGAGTGCTAGAAGGCAAAATCAAAGGAACATGGTATTAAACGCTCACGAAAACGGGTGTCGGGATGATGGTCTAACACCGTTCTTCAAGCGGTTCTTTTTAAAAGGACGGGGCGACACTAGAAGGGCAAAGAATATGCTGTAGAGGAAACTAAAGTTGCAGCTAGGAACAATGGAATGAAATAAGAAAAAGAATCCCGGCTAGATGTTAGAAAATTCCTAAGATTGAGCCCTCCCAGGGCTTGGAATCCCCTGGTAAAATAAAAAGATAAGTTTATTTCCTGATGTGAAAAAAATGAGAATAAACAAGTAAAATTTGATAAACATAGAACTGTTTTCTTACTTACAAACCCTGATAGCACAGCCATACCTAGACAGGAATATCCATCCCCCTTGCCTTGAAGGCTTTGACACATATGACATTAGTACCATTAGTTTGGTGCCCAAACAACTGTCTGGTGAGGGTTAGCAAAGTTACAGCAAAATCCAAAGCAAGACTTCCCGGAAGAAGGAAACAAGGCTGACTGTTACCTTGAGTTCCTGCAGCTGGTCCGGCTCATAGAGTTTGGGGGACAATGCCTGAGCCAGGAAGGCATCCAGCTCCTGACGCCGCAGAATGCGAGCTCCGGGCCACTGCACCATATACCTGGTGAGGAATAAAATGAGAGTGGAATGACTAGCTGTCAGCCAGCACTTAGAAAAACTAAGGAATGGTGCAAGTCAGGATGCCATTCTGTTTCCATGAGAGTGCCAGCTGAAAAGTGTGCCCTTCATCAACACTCAGCATGCTAGAATGCTGTACTGTGTATAATCATTAAAAATAAGGTGCTTTATCAGACCTGGTGGCACATGCTTCATTCTCAGTATTTAGGAGGCAGAGGCAGGTAGTTCTCAGTGATTTCAAGGCCAGCCTTGTCTACACAGAGAGTTCCAGGTCAGCAAGAGCTAGAGTGAGGTATGTCTCACTTGAATCAAAGTCTCCCCAGCAGCATGGGGAATGAACATGGGACTAGAGCAGGCAGTGTCCACAAGGAAATTGCTGAATGCACTGAGGGCACCTTCACATTTGAACATCCTGGTATGCATGCTTGAAGGGAATCAACTTCCATGAGGATAGGTGTGTCAGGCAGCCAACAGCCTGCATCAATCGCTACACAAAGTACACCCTAAGTAGCTTCTAGTTTGGGAATGGGAATGACTAACCACAGTAGTCATAAACCCTCAAGTCCACTAGTACTGATTCTTTGTACCCAACAAACCTTACGGAGGTTTGTGAGCACTGGAAAACAACTCAAAGGAGTATGGAGAGTCATGACTTGCAAAACAATACTCTTTCCACTTTTGCCTGCTTTCTCAGGCTTAAATTCAAGTTAACAAAACCAGGACTAGAGCTAGCATTCACCCATGGGAATGTATACTAAGAGAAGGCACAGGAAGGTTTTAATGGGATTAATAAGAAAAGTGGAATTTCACATGCTCACTAAGAAAGAGGCAGACATTGGTCTACATATTTTATAGACGGACACCCATCTATTGTCCTAGTAATTCTGAAGCAGGAGTAAATATCCTGTATCAAAGATAAGGAAACCGAGAGACAGACATGCTTCATGGTACAATTATGCAGCATGGTACAATTATGTAGCATAAGTAGATGGACAGTCAAATTTCCACATGAATGAATAATAAACATTTCTACTGTAAAGTGAAATAAAGGTGAATTAAACTACCAACATTTGCACTGACAAAATTATATTCTCTGGCTGGGAATGGTGGTGCATGCTTTTAATTCTAGCACTGAGGCAGAGGTGGGTGGATCTCTGTGAGTTGAGGCTAGCCTAGTATACAGAGAGAGCTCCATGAAAGCCAAGGCTACACATATAAACCCTATCTTGAAAAACAAACAAGCAAACAAAAAGTATTACTGAAAGCTGGGCATGGTAGCCTTATTCCCAGCACTCAAAAGGTAGAGGCAGGAGATCTCTGTGTCCACAGAGGTCAGTCTGGACTACATAGGCTAGGTGGAGTTATATACTGAGACCCATATACTTGGTGAGTTTGCAGCAATGGACTTCCTTGGTCTACCACAGAGGGTCAATAAGCAGTCTGGACTTTTCTGGAGCCTTCAAAGGCTTTTCTGTCCTTTACTGACATGGATTTTGGGAAAAAGATGGTTTGACACCATCCTGAGAACACACCTGGCACAGTCCAAAGCTTCTTCAGACACAGACAGATTGCTAGACCATAGGACCTTGGCCCCTTCCACCTTGAAAAAATTCATGTATATGTGGTTGACTGTTTTGTTTTTTTAAATAAGATCTTATTGTGTAGACCAGAGTGGCCTTGAGGGGCATCAACACATACAGCCTGCTTCTTGATATTTCATACTGACTTAAAAGCTCTTAAGCCCAGGCTGTAGCTATTTGTCTGAGGTCTTGTCTCTTTACTTTCAAAGAAAGCTTCTTTGATTTAGTCTGTGTAACATCACAACAAACCTTCTGGTCTGCTCCCCACACCACACAACATCAACTTCGGCTGGTACTCCTTGTTTCCTCATCTCTGCTGCCCTGGATTCTAGAGATTGGATCAACAATGATCCCTGTCCATCCTACCTGCTGTCCTACTACGACATTCATA